TCGTGATGTCTAATAGTTCGTAATTCGTTAATGGGTATTTCCTTTGCCTTTTGTATAGCAGCCTCAATTAATTTTGATGGATATTTTTGTCTAGAAAGAAATATTCTTAGTTCACACAGTCTCGTATTTCTGCGATCCTCATCTATAACGATAGTACAAATTCGCCTGGCCATATTGAATGGGATGTTTCGTTTGGTATGGGAGGGATGGCATGAGTTATATATATATATATATATATGGCATGAGTTATATATATATATATATATTTAAAAGTAAAAATCCATAAATATCACAAAACTTTACTGCAAGCGCTTTCGCCATGTTTGGCTCTTCAGGCAGTTATACAAATGTCAGGTAGCTTACCTGGTAACGTCAAAAGCATAAAGTTCATTGTGACGTCATAATAGATGTAGGTAGCGTTAAGTTGGCGTAATTGTTAATGTACAAATCTTGCACTGACTTTCACACATTATACAAATGAAATTTCAAAATATAAAATATACAGTATCATTTGCGATTAAGTTTGGGTTTAAAGAGGTTGATAAAATGGTCTTTTTTTGCCAAACGTAAATTTTCGTTTTCATTTGGAAATTTATAAAAAGGGAAAATCTTAAATATTCCTTTGCCACATATTGCGAAATGTTCACAACACGGTGTATTACGCACACTAGGGTCTCTAATTTGTTGCTTGTGCACACGAACCCTCACATTTAATTTTCCCGTTTGTCCAGTATAATGTTCTTTACACGTCGGACAGATGGCACAGTAGATGACGTTTTCCGATTTCCATTCCTGATTTAAGTTGGATTTTATTATAAAACGGGCCTTGGTCAACAGTTTTTTAAGATTTAGTTCAGCCAAATGATATCATAAACAGTCGACGAAAAGCACCAAATCTTAAAAAACTGTTGACCAAGGCCCGTTTTACTACACAGGAGGAAATTCCAACCATTAAAAAATGCGGAGATTCGAGATGCGGAACATGTTCATATTTAGAAGAGGGGAATAAAATCCAACTTAAATCAGGAATGGAACTTCGAACCAACTCATCTATGAACTGTAAATCGGAAAACGTCATCTACTGTGCCATCTGTCCGACGTGTAAAGAATATTATATTGGACAAACGGGAAAATTAAATGCCATGGTGCGTGTGCACAAGCAACAAATTAGAGACCCTAGTGTGCGTAATACACCGTGTTGTGAACATTTCGCAAAATGTGGCAAAGGAATATTTAAGATTTTCCCTTTTTATAAACTTCCAAATGAAAACCAAAATTGACGTTTGGCAAAAGAAGACTATTTTATCAACCTCTTTAAACCCAAACTTAATCGCAAATGATACTGTATATTTTATATTTTGAAATTTCATTTGTATAATGTGTGAAAGTCAGTGCAAGATTTGTACATTAACAATTACGCCAACTTAACGCTACCTACATCTATTATGACGTCACAATGAACTTTATGCTTTTGACGTTACCAGGTAAGCTACCTGACATTTGTATAACTGCCTGAAGAGCCAAACATGGCGAAAGCGCTTGCAGTTAATGTTTTGTGATATTTTTGGATTTTTACTTTTAAATATACCAAAAACTGTACCGATTCTTCATTTTGTTTTGAAATTATATATATATATATATATATATATATATATATATATATATATATATATATATATATATATATATATATATATATATATATATATATATATATATATATATATATATATTTATATATATATATTTAACCGGGTACTCGATCGAACGTCCGAGTATCGAATACTAAAATCGGTACTCGGTTACTCGGATGTATATTTTTAAATATTTCTAAGCTTATTTATTAATGCATTGAAATATCGATTTTAAACGCAAAATGTTCATTGCACTTGTACATACAGTAATTAGGGTTTCCTGAGCCTCTAAATGACCGTTATCGCCTGTGGCAGTGTTTATACAGTAATTACCGTGACCAAGCACCTGCTACCTACCTGGCTTTTCTCACCTTCGGCTGTCTTCTACCCTTATGTTTAGTTTGCTCTAATTATTTGTTTTAATTGAACATCGTTTAAGGTCTATTATATATGTTTAAATAAATTAAATAATTTTGTCAATTTTCCAGAAGCCGTAGATTCTCGGGGAAAGAGACAGACGATATTGCACGTGCGATTGTTGATATGGATGCGTTTGATTACGTGCCAATTAATGCAAATGGTTGAATGCAAAGGTTTTAAAAATCTTATGTCCATCTTTGCACCAAACTACAACATACCGTCTCGAAATTTTAATGAAATCAATGATCGAAAAGTGTACGAAGATCGTAAATCCGCTCTGCTAGAACTTGATCAAGTTGATAACTGTACATGTAGCTCTGACGACCTATCACTTGGACGTCAAACGCATTGATAGAGTTGCATTACAATTAGGGAACAGATTATTTTTTTTAAACAAAACCACTGTGAGCCATTTATGATTTTATTTCTCGTATTTATCTGATAAGTAAATTGGACTTAAAAACAATGTTAGATTAAATTTCGTTGTCATAATTGTTACAACACATTTACAGGTAAACTTCCCATCAGACCATGTGGTTTTATTTCAATGTTTTACAGTTATCAATTAACTTGTTCATATTTATTTAGACTTTTACCGAGTACCCGGGTACTCGATCGGAAAAACGTCCGAGTAACCGAGTATTAAAAATTGACCGATTTGACATCCCTAATATATATATATATATATATATATATATATATATATATATATATATATATATATATATATATATATATATATATATATATATATATATATATATATATATATATATGTACCGTTTTTAATCATATATTTTATTGTGAAGGAACTAACATGCAACTCTTTGTTAAACCCAACCTGCACCCCAGCCCTTTTTTTTAATTCAAAAAGAAAATTCCTTGTACTCTTTGGAAATGCTGCAAATCCATTCAATTTTAAGGCTTCAGTAGTTTTTTTTTTTTTATTCGGACTAAAGGTACCATTTTAAAGAAATAAATGGACGTAAACAGATATTATTTACCAAAACCTAAGATCTTCCATACATATGTGTGCATATTTGCTTGAGAGTGTGTTCAGGTGGGGGGCGGGGGGTATAGGGACAGTACAACCCTGAAACTCCCTTTCAAAAATGGCTGGATCCGCCTCTGAAACGGGAGGGATTTTCAACGAAATTGGGTATTATCCGTAAAATCGCGTATAATACTGGATATAAGGGTATCGTTGAACCAGCGATATCTAGTAAAGGCGGTGTATTCACTTTATAAAACTTAAACAATGGGATGGCACATTTTGCGGAGTCAACTTTAACCCAGATGCAAATGTTTTCTAAAGGTATTACCAGTCAAGTAAGAATTTGGAATTCAGGATTAATGCGCACTGGACAACAAATACCTGTTGAGCTTAGTACATGTCATGATCTGCACCCAAACAGGCGTTTGTTCTGCTTAATATTTTTCAGAATGTTGGAAATATTTGCATCCTCTTCATGTTTATACCCAACACAACAGAATTGTTAATTAAAAGTTGAATTTGCATGTAGATCTATGCATTGATATATCTGAATGCTTGTATCTTAGCACCTTTTAGTCCTGAAGAGTTAGAGATACTAAAGTACTTTTTGGCTTTCTCACATTTCAGGAAGCTCTTACCATGAGTCACTAAAGAATTCAAATTAATATAGTTTATTGCAATTAGAGTGGTTTGTCCTTTTGATTGAAAATAGAAATTCGGTACCACGATAACATAAATGAATATGTGTTTGTGAAACACTGTTGCCCCCCGTGTGGTAATACAGCGAAGATTAAACTTTTATTAAATGCAAATTTAATATATTGGTACCAAATGTAGGGTATTCTTACTGGAAATACAATTGTAAAATAAGAAAATAGGCTAAGGCTAAAGTTACTCCATAGGTATGGAAATCTCTAAGGTAAAGGTCAAAAGGTCATGATTGTTCGTATGCAATGAAAAGTCTTTCCACAAAGAATACATTTGTAAAGTATGAAGCCCCAACCCTTCAAAAGTTATGACAAAGGATAATATTTTTTAAGTAGGCCAAACTCCAAGGTTAAATGTCTTGCTATAAAATGAAACGTCTTGTCATTAGGATTAAATATATAAAGTATAAAAGCACTAACCCTTAAGCTTTAAAAGTTATGCTCAAGATTTGCTTCATAAAAGTAGGTCAAACTCCAAGGTCAAAGGGTCAAAGGTCTTGGTATCCAATGTAGGGTCTTCTTACAAGGATTACATATGTGAAGTATGAAAGCACTATATATCCCTTACCATTCAAAAGTTATGGCCAAGTTTAAAGTTTTTTCATAAGTATGGAATCTCGAAGGTCAAGGTCAAAAGGTCAAGGTTGTTAATATCCATTGAAAGGTCTTTCCACCAAGAATACATATTATATGAAGTATAAATGTCCTGGTATCTATTGTTCACAAGATATGGCCAACTAACCTTAGGCAAATGTTGGGGTCAGAATATAAAAAAAAAATCCCAAAGAGACAAACAATCATGTTCATTCCAAGCCTCCGTCTATCAGTACTTTCAGCACTTTGATTGTTCAAATTTTTACCTTAATCGGATAAGAAGTTTCGATAAGAGTCAAGGACCAAAAATACATGGGAAGAAAAATAAGAAGAAGAAACAGAGTAAAGACAATGTGTTCCCCAAACTTCTTATACGAGACTTAGTATATGTATACATTGTATAGACGGCACCTAGAAGAATGTTTGAAAACCTGGATTCATTAAAAGTGTATGTTACATTGAATCATAACTTTTCTATACTTTATGCAGACATGCTTTGCAGTTATCTTTAAAATAAAAATTACATTTTTTTAACTTCATTGTGATTCTATACAAAAGTATTCTAGTTGAATGTTGAGATAAAAAAAGCTATTTGAGGTCCTCATTGAAAGTGTCTTTATAGTCTTTGGAGACAAGATTTCTCAGCAATCTATGGCATTCCGGGATCACAAGGGCACAGATCGTTATATTTTACATCACTTTCTTGTCAACAGGGTCATGCATTAAGATGTTTAGTCAAAGAATCCCGACGGAGCGTTGCTAGTGCCACGACCTTGCACAAAATCGTTAGCACTACCCATAATTACTTTCAAGTTGGTAAGTGCCAATATATCCTTGTTCCTGTTTGGAACAGGTTCGCTGTGGTAGTTGGACATAGGTAGGATGTTCATATCAGGCAAATTCATAAATCTGGCGACAGCAGTAAATTTGTTCTTAACTTCCTCGCTTCGGAACAATTCTGATATGTCATTGGCTAGTGATCCCCGGAGTCTGTCTACTTTATTCATGAGTACGATCTGTGGAACGTCTGTAAAATATAATGTTGTAAAGGTTCATGACTTTTTAAAATCATTTTCAGAATTCTTTTTGTAGATTTTTTTATCATTTGATTTTTTTTCTTAATGCCTACGTGTTTGGCTAATTTTCTTCTTGATTTTTTCAAAACTTCTTGTCGCAGCACCACCGGCTAAGGCCGCTCCTGGATTCTCAGCATTAACTACATACACGACACAGTGCATTTTATCCCCCAGTTGAGGATCAGCTCTATAGTAATCATCGGTGTGTTGAATTGTTTCATCTGGGACAATCTAAGCATCAGTTTATTATTTAGATTAATTAGCTCTCCTTCTTTTTCTAAAAGTGCTTACAGGTTTTTTTTTTTAATTTAAAAACAAATTTCTTTTATTAATACTTTGAAATTATAACTTGGAAAAGTACAGTGTATCCATACATAATAACTAGTTATTCATAACGATAAAAAAACATATTATGAAATGTCATATGCAATAAAAAGGAAATGAAGACAAGTCAGTCACATTTTTGGTATTTTTATTTTCTATCTTTAAAAAAAGAACAACATGTATCTATATTGCCAACAGATGTCTTCATTTAAATAATTCTAGATTGATTATAGGTAATTGTATTGACATAATTTTAATTTTAATTCCATGAAAATGCAATATCTATTTTATTTCATTATAGATGTACATGAAAAATTAATTTTAAGTACCTTTAACCAACTTTTATTCGCGCCGACTTTATTTCGCGATTTACCAGACGTAAAGTAGTTCGCGACGATAAAATTTCGCGATCAAGCCTTTTTGGATCTGTTTCTAATAGACACAGAGACTTTAAAGACTGGTTCGCGGCGAGAAATATTCGCGATGACGAGGCTTTCGCGAACTTCGCGAAAATTTCGCGCACGCAAATAAAAGTTGGTTTACAATTATCGTTCTAGTTCATGTATCATGCATTCGTTAACCCTTATTTACAAGACCTTGACTTATATGTACCTTTACAAATAAAAAAGAAATTTTATTTACCTTATATTCGTGTTTTACATGTCCATCAAGAATCAGACGAATGTTTTCATCTGTTACGCCCTCAATATCATGCAATCCACGACAGTCAAAGATGCGTAATTTCAAGACTTGATCAGATTTAGTGTACAAAGGATGTGTTTCAAACTGAAATAAGATAAACATGTATGTTAGCTTCAAATTAAAAGACATTTGGTCAATTATAAACAAGAGAAAACATCGCTGAAATGAAATATCAATTATCACATCTTATACTTACTTTAGTAGTAACACTTGATCCAGCTGCTCTTAAAACAGTTAAAGGACGAAGTATTCTTCCTTCGTCTTTCAGAGCTGTAGCACATGTGTTGAAAAACGATGTTTTGCCGGAAGCTGACTGCCCTAGTAGAAAACAGTTTAGGTATTGTATCCCACCCTTGACCTTGAAATTGTATATATCGTCCAATAGCTGTCTTCGTTCCTAAGCAGAAAAATACTTATACAATTATATACAAACTTTTTTTAAAAGGAAAATTGGTATGAAAGAACTTACACTTTCACTCCATGTAATATGTGATCTCCAAGGACTGCTCATCAAAGGTGGAGGTCCTATATGAATAGAAAATATATGTTTCTAACATTAAAAATAATAAACTTTATAGGATTCAATGCTAAATAAATTATAAAACTATTTTCGTATTGTAATTTTAACATTTTTCGTTTCTAGTTTGTAAATATATTTGAAAGTTACACAGAATAATGCAAGAATCGCTCTTGATTTAACTCGTTTTAAATAGTTTATTAGTTTGAATACGTATAGAAATTTTTTTTTTATAATATTTAACTTTATTACCTGTTGGCTTGACCGGGGCGCCTAAAATTAAATAGATTAAGATATTTTTTACGAAGTTTGATAAAAAGGGATATGATTAATTTCTATATCTAAGTGATATTCTTTTTAAAATTCTTAATTTCGTTTTATCGTGGAATTAATTAGTTTAATAATCAGTTTAAGTACCTCATATTATTTTTAGCTAAGATATTTTCAATACCATTTTTATGAATTTTACTCACTCTCTACGGTTTCCTTTGACCCACTCGATCCCATGTTCTGAAATGTTCCCAAACTGCAATATTTTTTTTTTTTTTTTTTTACAAAATATGTGTTTTATTTTCTTTTCAATATATAGTTACAAATAGTATAATATAAATATTACGCAAAAAAAGCTCTTCTTAAAAGTTTTTTTTAAAGAAAGATGCTCTATCTTATTATTGAAAGTTAATCATAGCTACAAAATATCAAATAGTCGAATATACCTTATTCACTGACAATTGCAGCTAAAAAAAAAAGAAAAGGGTGGCTATGAACTTTGCAGCAAGCGATCCCGATTTATAAGCTATGTTAAAATGCAGGCGTGGTTGCCGTATAAGGTTATGTTCTGAAGCAATGCACTTTTATTGGTTGTTAGAGGAGATATCAGTCAGAAAGGCCTCGCTATAAATCCTTGGCAAATGAAATTGTGATTAAGTTGCAAAAAAGATTGCAGGTAGGAACACTCCATATCATATTTTAGTTAAATATATAGAGCTTACAAAGAAAGCGTTAAATCTTTGAGTAGCTCAAATTATTTTGTTTATATAAAATATGATTGCTTTACTTAAAACTTCTGCATATCCTGCTATGTATTGATTTTTTTACTATTCTCAAAATCAGATAGATATGTAAGATTAGGTAAACCATTTCTTTGGAAAAGATATGTTAAATTATTGCGTGCAGGTTGACTCTGACCATCCATATCGAAAATTTTAAAAATATTGTTTTCTCGCTCTAAACATATTGAAGTGACTCTAAAATAATCATGTTGGTTTTTTGTTGTTCAAGGGTCTCGGATTTTCTACATTGTCAGTGTACGAGTGTTGTTCGGTAAAATCGTTAACTAAATGTTTTCTTGAAAAGTAAAGGGCGCACTTAGCTGATTTTTCAGCAAATGCTTATTAATCATATTTAAGTACTTTTTGATTTTTTAAAATAATTTTCTAAAAAAAATAAATAAATAACCCTTACCTAACTCAACACAAACGCAAAAAATAGTTTTAATTATGCTTCAATGAATGAATAAAAAAAAATCAAGGTTTTATGAGATATTCAAAAACTTTTTTTCGAAATAAAAGTACCCTGGTATTAATTTGTGTAGACTTTCGAAATTTCAAAACAACCTCTTACTCTTTTCCCGAGCATTCGAAAATTAAGGGAATTTGGGAAACACAGCACACGAATCTTGACGTTTGGTGACGTTACGGTGACAAAGAATTTCTTTGAATATCTTCTTTTCTGCTCCTGGGTATTAACAAACTAACTAAGTACAAAGTTATGATGATCAAGAATGCGTCTTCCAGAATTGTGAATTTTATGGACCCAGGATTGGGGGGTTTGGTGTACAGGGCGAGGCTCTATAGATATTATATACGCATTATATCTTTGAAAATCTTCTCTATTCCTGGGTATTAAATAAACTATCTAAGTACAAAGTTATGATGGGCTAGAATGCGTCTTCCAGAATTGTGAATATTATGGCCCCGGATAAAGGGGTTCTTGTCTTAGGGCGGGGCTCTATTGATTATATAGTGAAAATACAGTGATTCTTTGAAAGTCTTCTTTTTCTGTTCCTGGGTATCACATAAACAAATTAAGCACATAGTTGTGATGTGCAAGAATGCCTAATTCCAAAATTGAGATTTGTTTGGCTCCAGGGTCAGGGGTTCTTGTCTTTGGGTCGGGCTCTTTTGATTATACTGTAAAAATGTATTAAATATTTGAAAATCTCTGCACCTAGGTTTTAAGCACATGAACTACCTATATAGCTATGATGAGTAAGGGCCCTTTTCAGAATTTTGAATTTCAAGGCCCTAGGGTTAGAGGTACCATAGAGGAGTGGGGCTCTACTTCTATACTGAATATGAATTAACTGTTTGAAATATCCTCCTTCGTATTAATAACACATTTTTATTTTGCAAGGGTGCCTTTTTCCAAAATAGTGATATGTGTGGTAGGGCACTACCGAATATTGCTGAATATTACTAATAAGTTGAAATGTATTTGTGTCCCCCACCCTGGGTATTAAGTAGCCAAATTAAGCTATTGCTAAGTGTATTGTTATGATTACCAATTGTGTCTCTTTCAAAATTGTGAACGTCATGGCATCTATATAGTTTAAAACAAACAAAATTTAATGATTGGAAAGTTGTTGCATGATGCTCAGGTGACCTATAAGGCCCGTGGATCTCTTGTTATTTATAAGGTCTTCTAACTCACACTGAAGACCTTCTTATTATTCTGGTATCTTTCACTATTTTAAGTTCTTTCGTCTTCAGCCAAAGACTTTTATATCTTTAGATTTCTTTTCACTTTTAAAGGTCATAATCTTCAACGGAGGACCTTCGTAAAACTCTCAGTTTTTTTCCACTATTTTATTATAAAGCTTTTCCTTTTTGTGATCCGTTGGCGATTCTATGATAACTGTTATTGTTATTATGATTATTTTTATTATTATTATTATTATTATTATTATTATTATTTAGGTCTTCCGTCTTCAGCGGAAGACCTTCTTGTTATTCTTAGGTTTCTTTTCCACTATTTTTATTATTATTGTTTTTTTTTACTTACCGATTTTGTGCACGCGAGTTCTCGGAAACGGCTCGCTCGATTTTCATGAAACTTTCAGGACTGATAGAACATCAAACAAACCTGATATATAATTTTTTGTTTTGATGACGTCACTTCCGGTTTTGAGATTTCCGCGATTTAGTGATTTTCAGGGTGTCAGTTTGTCCCCGAGTTTTCTCAAAAACGGCTTAGGATAGAAACTTGAATTTTTCAGCAATGATAGAGCAATATATGTAGATGTGACATACGTATTTCATTTTCACCGGAAGTGCTGCACGCCGACGCTTGGTATGGTCCGAAAAAGAGCATGTCGAGAATTTTAAAATTTCTAACGCCTTTTCTTCGATATCCTTTTACCTACAAATATTTTGTTAGAACATATAGAATAAAAGTTGTAGAGAATGTCACGCATTTTCAAAGCATATCAACAAAAAGGGGCTAGCCCCTATAATTAAGGGCCCAGAGGGGCCAAAAGTTTTTCCTTAATATCTCAAAAAGTATTGAGAATTTGAAATACGTCAAAGAAGCAAAGTTGTTCAAAATTTCAAGCTAAATCTATTGGTGTTGTCAAAATGTGTCCGTTGACGTCACTTCCGGTTAAACCGGAAGTAGTCAGAAAATGCATATTTTGCCGTTCTTGATATGTTTTTGGGTAAGATATGTCACTGGAAGCATAAAACTTAATTATCCGTCCGTCGACGTCACTTCCGGTCAAACCGGAAGTTGCCAAAAATAGCTTATTTTGAAGGTTTTGATACAAAATTCAAATTATAAAGTCACTGGAGACGACTTAGCTCATTGCTTTCTTTTGTTGACGTCTCTTCCGGCACTTCCGGTCAAAACCGGACGGAAGACCTACTCGTTGCTTTGCAACGAGCTTTGCTCTAGTTATTATTATTATTATTATTGCATTTTGACTTCACGGAAGTCCTGATAGTAATTTTATTTCTTTTAATTATATTCATCCAAAGAGTATGAGCCATCTTATGCATAGAATGGTCCTGTACTTATATAAATTAATTAGCTATCACCCTCTTTCCAACTTCATATATCAAAATAAAGAAGACACTTGAGGTGATTTCATTTTCTATAATAAAATTTCTTTTTCAGAATCCAGATATTGGAAAACACGTTTGAGAAATTGCAATGTTCTTGAAATTTATAGAAAACATGCGTATTTGACTACCTCTAGCAAGGAATTAAAATATGAGCACAGCCCACGATCCAAAAAATAAAACATGTTTTTTGATCTTCAGAAACAGCGCTTTCATTATAAATTTGCATATCTTGGATCGGAGGTTGTGCTCTGTATGAAATATTGAAAAAAATTCTTCAACTTTAGGTCATTTTCAAAGGAACTTACAAGATATGATGAAAATGAAACATTTTATGACGTCATAATGAAGTGACTAGATTGAAAATTACGTCATGATTAATAGATTTGTGGTCATTAACACTCCAAGTGATAAATACTGCATTTGCAACCTCCTAAACCGAACGATTTTGATTTTTCAGAATTTCTCAGGGCCAAATAAGGCCCAAATTGGCTCGTGCTCTTTTGTTTAAAAATTGATACATCAAAACATGCGATATTTTATTTTTACGTTGGATTGAAATACATTTTAGATAGAAGGACTTCACTTTACGCTGTGGTTTGGATCTTTTTCGGTCGCTTCTGTTGCTTAAAAATCTAAAACAAAGTTCACTTACATATATATTTTCTACAGAAGTCTATCAATTTGGCACCAAATTTAAATATTAAAAGAAATTTTATACAAATAAAATATATCACCAGGCAATGAGAATTATAAATTGCAAATAAAAAATTATAGAATGCAGATAAAAAATATACTATTCAAATGAAAAATTATACAATACAAATGAAAATTCTACAATACAAATGAAAAATTATAGAATGTAAATGAAAAATTATAGAATGCAAATGAAAAGCTAAATAATATAAATGAAAAATCATACAATACAAATGGAAAACTGTAGAATGCAAATTAAAATTACACAACATCAGTAAAAAAATTAACAATGCAAATGGAAAATTGTAGAATAAAAATGGAATACGAGGGTTGTTCTAAAAGTTCGTGGACGATGTCAATCTTCGTTATATTACTCGCTAGAAATTTAAAATAAGTTCAATATATTATGTAAATATGTTTTTTGTTGATGCCTGAAGTTTCATTCCATTCAATTTTACAAAATTTTTTTAACCTGGCACCTGATCCCACCTCTGTTGTTTCGGGGGTCTGTGTTTGCTCTGCTCCTATTTTGTATTGTTTTATGGTCTTTGAGATAAAATACTGTTCGTTATCTCCATACCCTTCCCTTAACTTCATTTTAAAATCACCATGTTTTGTCCCCGCGGAGCACACTTAACGGCAATGTAACGTCAAAACATAGCGTCAAGAATTTCTTCAAGATGCTATTCCTATA